AAATGAAAACGTCGCGGAGTAACGAGATGATCTAATTACTCCCCGCGTAGGACACAATGGGAACAAGAATACGCGGTTCGTAAATTGGAGACGAGCACAATATAAGGTATTTCGATATCTTGCTCGTTACACGGTCACGACGGTATAAATTTGCCGAAGGGTAATCAAGTAATGAATACATCGCCTGCGAAGACCGTACGTATATAAATCATGCAGGAGAGGATGCCAGGGGCTACAGGGTGAGCCCTTATCTCCAATCAGTACATTGATTGCACGCAGCCAGGTCAAATACCGGGCTTCGCTCGACGGCTTGGTTCAGGCATGATAGCTTATTCAATTTCCGAAGCGGCCATTCACAATTCAATTTGGCAGTTATCAACCTCCACCTATCCGCCATCTGGATTTTGCGTGACTTTTGAGGAATCGTGGCTTCCCGTCGAAGAAAAGAATTGCCCCAGCGCGACGTAAAGAACAATATAAATACAGCTTTAACTCATCGATTATTGCCATTGCACCGCGATTAATTACCCTTTTTAAACAGCAATTGAGAGTATATATACGGAGGAAGATTAAGAGCGCGATAATATTGAAGATTTTTCTCTAGTCTTGGACTACTTTTGTTATTTCCTGAATTTTTAGGGACAAATATTTAGGTTATATAATTCTGAACATATCGCGTGACACGATGCTATTAGTATCCCCTAATTCGGTAGATCGACGACGTGTTGTTATAAAATGATTATCGAAAGTATTTGTTTTTTTCTGCTGTTTAACGAACTGAAATTAAACAAGCCACGCGGTACGTTTCCTGGAGCATATGGCTATTACTCAGCATCTATCTGGCAGAAGCACGACGCGGTTCCTGCAATGTACATAGATAATCGAGCTTAATTAATTGCTCGTGATGCGCGCTCTGGGCTGAGCAAACACATTTACTTATTACCATCCATCTTGAGTGGTGTCTCTCAAGGGAATCGATTTTCTAAGTGCACGCGGGCTGATGATGACACGAATTATCGAAGGGTCGGCACGTGATCGCAACAAAATCGTTAAATAATGGCGCGGCTTGTGTAATATTCTTCGTCGCGAGATTAAATTCGCGACCTGGAAACGAATTAATCTACCGTGCGCCTTTAACTAATCGTACGGAAGACGGTTCCATTAACTATTCACGGTGTACAAATACATTACTACAGTTGCAACAAGTTCGTTTCTCGGGAACTGTACTTCCATTTGTCTCTTTAGTTTGTTGATTACCGAGATTTTCTTAATTACAATATTCTCGCGAGTATGATAAGTGGATTAGTATTATTCTGATAGAGAATACTTCTTGATCGTTCACTTATCAACAATATAATTCATGTTGGCTATCATTTTCCAATATAACAGACTGCAACAGGTGTTCCAACACGAACTTGCCTTTTATTCTTTGTCAAAGAAATGGCAAATGTTCGCAAAAATTCGCCTGCCTTTAACGTAATCGATACTTGATTGTTTTTTTGAGATGGAGGTTGAACTTGGTAAGGACATACTTTGAAGAATTCATTTTTTAAATAAAATGTTACGAATACGAGTAACTATATCCCAAACAGGCATAAGAAACACACTTTGGTGTATTCGATGGTGAAGAAAGTCGCGACGGTTCGTATCCAGCAACACAGTCAGTCAACGCGATGAAATCATTAACTGACATTAGTTCGGTACGTTAATCAATTGTAAGTGGAACTATTTGGGCGCAATGAAGCCACCAGTAATGGGCGGTAGTTAATACTTGTCTACGTTAATCGCCACGTCTATGCCCAGCAATGCGTTCCGCGGAAGCCTCGCCTAGTAATTGTTATTGACTGGTACAGATCCCTCGGGTAGTAAGTGACATTTACACGATGCATTCTGCGTTAAACTTCCCTAGAGAGATTGGAGCGAAAGTGAGAGAGAGAGAGATGGTCGAAACGTCGTATCTAAGTTCCCTTATCTATACGGGCATCGAGTACTCCTGACAACGGGGCAACAACAAACGTCCTAATAGCCAGTGCTCGGCGCAAAGTTTAATTTGCTGACCAGAGGACGGTGCTTAAAGTTGGCTTTCCTCCGTCTTCGCCTCCTATCTCATCGTTTCCTTCGTCCACCCTAAAATCAAACTTCTTTCTTCGAGCCACCCCAACAGCATCGTGTGGTCTCGTTCACGCGATATCGACGCTGTTACGAATTCGCGAGTAACAGCTTCTATGAAATATTGAGTAGCACGTAATGACGGATGGCTCCCTCGAAGACGATTCACGCGATACCTGCGTTATGGCCAAATTGATCCCTGGACAGCGAGTACAATTACTCGTGCGTTGGTTGATGTTCCGAGACTAATTTAAAACACGATCTTACGGATAATCCGTATGTTTCATCAGTTATTTTTTCGAAAATGAACCCAAACGCGATCTTATTCCGATTGCTTTTAAAAGTATTATTCTAAATGTGAAAAACAGAACGCCCTTTGTGTCGAGCTACGAACCCGGAAATTTTGGATATTGTATTCCACGAGTTTTTACGCTGACTTCTGCACGGTCGTAGCACTGACCCTTGCAACGTATTTCCTCTTGTCACATGACTTGCATGCACGAAGAAAAAGTTTCCAAGTCGCCATGTACGTTTCCACCCCAGTGCGTTCTCTCCCTAACATTCTTATGGCAGGTAGTGCATAATGAAAACAGAAAAGCGAGTCAGAAGACAGATGGCCACGGTGCTCGTCTGTATTATACCCGCGCCAAGCGACAGATTATCAAACTTTCGATAAAATTTATTGTCCGGAGTAGCGCTGGCGTTGTTGAGTATTTTAAAATTCAATTCGTTCGAGCGCTCGAGGCCCGAGGCTTGATAAATGCAAAACGTGCATGAATTTGCGAACGCAAACATGAATCAAAATTCGATTCAATTTATTCGATCACCGATAAACTTTCAATTTCGAATATTTAAAAATAGTTAAAATAGTGGTTCGGACGAGGTTACGAGACGTAAAAATTTTTAGTTTTTTTGGGAGTCGACGGAGCAAACAGTGGTCGAGGCAATGTTTTTGACAAACCAAAGTCAATAAAGAAGTTGCAAACAAAATGTGATTGTTATTTTGAAAACTGTAGATTCTCTTGTCCATATTTTTCTAAGTACATACTCCCCCGATCTGAACTGTGAAATAGAAAATATATATTTCGTGAACCCCAAACATCGCACTGTAAATATCTCCGTTTCTTACTCGCGGAAATTCGGTAGGTATTTGTTTTCTATTTTCACGTATGTATTTTCACGTATTTTCTTATCAATCTCTACACTGTTGAACCAGTTGTCCATTGTTATGTTTCTACCAGTTCCGTGCAGTGGAACAGTCATTCTTTCTATAACAGAGTTTGTTGAATAATATTTGATACAGACTTTCTGGTTGCTCGCGTAAACTTCTGTATTTCGTACTAGGTTTCAACGTCGAACAACGAAAAAATTTGTAAACCATATTTGGCGGGTTGTTCGAAGCATTTATACACTTGAATCAGCTGCTAAATCTAGAAAAGACTATAGTAATGACTTAACTCTCCTCAGCCTGTCCCTAAATTTAGGTAAACTATGTCACGTTTGAATTTTATCAAAATTCCTTGTTTCAACTGCAGAAAGTGCTCGATTTGTGATAATAAATATCGAATAATGATCGAATGTCTATAGTTGGAGTGCCAGAATAGTTGTAGGTGATAATTGTACAACAGAAGTTCGATTATTGCAGGGGAAAATGGGGCTGCAACATCCTATAATGATCGAGATTCATGCAGTAATTAAGATAACCGGACCAACAAGGAACTTTATTGACACAGTATGCCAGGCATGTCCGCGTACAGTTGCTCCTACTCGTATTTGTACACTATAATGGTGATTCAATTAAATAAAGCATGAAAGAACAAATAAAGAAAAGGAAAACTCAGATATACGTAAGAAAATAGAGATTCTATACGAAAGACATTCTAAATTAGAGAGTTTTTTTCAAACATCAATCGACTAAAATAATTGTCTCCGACACTGCACCGTTTAATTTGAAGTCTGTTCGAGTTGCTGATGATCAGAGAAAAATCCCCAGTGCAAAGGGTTGAATTCCGAATCTCTGATCGTCAGAAAAGGAAGGAGAGATGTAAAACGAAATTCGTGAAACCATTTTCGGGATAACGCACTTGCAAACGGGTTGGGACGGTGGTTTCGAAGTGACGAAAAGAAGAATGTCGAGGAGAAAATAACCGGGTTGAACAGAGAGGGATGAAGAGAGAGAAAGCGAGAGGAGGGTTGAAAGAGGGGGTTGGAGTAGAGACCTGTGTCCCCCGCGTCATGAATCATGCATTCCCATCCCCCAGGAACGTACTAGAGCGCTCTGCGGTAGCGCGATCCGTCCGACAAATAAACAATGTTATTTGTTCTCTGGGATCTCGACCCATTCGCAGCGGCCCAAAAGACTCCGTGGGGTTGGCGCGGAAGAACGAGCCTCGTTGTTCCACGCTCTTGCGAAGCAAAACGTTCGAGGCAAGGTCGGAGGTTACCTTTTCCCTGCCTATGTTTCTTTATCTCGTCCCTGGCACCCAGGCTCCGCTCGTTCCTCATCACCGTTTTTCATTTGCCGCCCTTATTTCATGACAATCGAACTTGTCAGCGGCAGAAGAAGCCCGCCCAAACAACCGGGATATTTGAACAAGAATGTTTGAACAACGCAAAATAACGAGGGTCGGACCTGATAACGATATTTCTTCGTGAGAAAATGTAGTACGCTTTTGTTTTAACAACTATGAGATAACATTTGTGTGTAATAACGTCGGGAAGTCTAAATTAACTCTGTATAAACCATGAGGATAAGTCAAAGTAGAGTTTAGAGGGTTGAAGGAATTATATTATTCAGTCTACTAGTAATTATGGAATCATGCAATGCATATGTTGATGTGTACCGTTCGAACTACTGTGTTTCATCTAAATTGTTTTTCTTTTTGTTGCAGATGAACCGTCCTATTCAAGTGAAGCCGGCGGACAGTGAAAACCGCGGAGGTGAGAACAAACAATCGAACCAATACATATAGTAATCGAATATAAATAATACGATCAGAATTCAATACGAAAGAAAGAAATTTATAGCGCTGTTGTAACCTTGTTCTCCAATAACGACTACTCATTTAATATTAATCATGTTATTATTAATCACACAATGTTAGATCAACAATTGACTTTTTGAAAGATAGAAACGAAAAATCGAACCGAGATTGTCGCTTTTTCATGGAAAACTGATTAAAGTACTATGGGCGAAAGCGTTTACGGGTTCGCGACTGTAATGCATTTATTTCTAATGGCGCAAAATATATGTGCAACAAAGGGCGGCGTTATTGATCGACTGCTTCGATGAGATGTAACAGATTTAATGGCAACCTGTACAATATTTTTTATTAAATTGAAAAGCATTCACTGTAACATGCGGTAATATACGTTGACAACTCATACGTAACTTTCAATCGAGCAAACACAAAAAAGGCACGTCCCGATAAAAATTCGTTTCCGCGGAAAAATTTCCATCATTCTCGGATTACGTGCTGCTAAATGTCAATGAAAATCTACACGATATGTTTTCTATCTTACGGTACAAACTTCGTAAAACGACGAACAATCGGGTGTGGTAAATTAAAGGATGGGGTAGCGGTTGGCTCGATACACAAATAGCTACCAAATTTCTCAGTTTCATTGTCGAAATAAAGTTTGTGAATTTGATAATGCATAACGCTTCCAGTCTTTCGAAAAAGCGGGGTGGTACTTAATCTCGAATAATTGTAGCAAGAATTTCGAAGGTTACACGATGCATTAGACTCGTTGCCAAAATTTTACGACACGTTGGTCTGTCCTGGCACACTGTTAGGAATCGATAGTCTGGTTTCATCGCGTCCACGGTGTCTCAAAACAGAAAATGAAGCCAAAACGGCGTAAAAGTCGGAGTTGCGTCTGGCGTGATTCATAGCGGGGGGGCCCTAAACGATCCATTGAGTTTGATCCAATGCAGATATTCAAGGAGAGGCATCGAAGAAGGAGAAAAGCGAGTTACGGGGTGAAGCGAGGGAACTAGATGAAGGGGACCGTAATTCATACGCTAATCAGGCACAGATGCCATTGTAATCTCCGGTCTCCTGTCTCGGTGTGGCCCCACAAAGCCTCGGTTTGACGTGGCTACAGCAGGAATAGTCCAAAACTCGATGCTTCTGCTTTCAGTGTCTTACGTGACAGACACGTGTAAATATTATTGAGCACAAGATTGGATTGACTAGAATTAATTCTTTATCGATCGTGACACTATTCATACCCAACAACCGTACACTGGTCGAAAAATATATAACAAACTAGCAAGAAGGGTGGAAATTTCAATCTCGACTCGCGTGGGTCAAATTTAGGACCGAAGAAAATATAAATTAGGAAGAAGATTTTGGTACATGAAATGCAGAGAGGCTTCTGGATGGTTTTCTCGCGAACGCGTCCAATTGTCTCGCAGGAGTCGGGAGAATTAAGTGTACAGCGATGGAAACAGATTTGAGAAATGCGTATCTCTGGGCGGAAGTTGCTCAAGCTCAAGGGTAGTCGAAGTTCGCGCAAGTGGATAATGGCGGCCGCTGTACCGAAGCTAGTTGAGCAAGTAGATAAGTTTCGATCCCTCGGCGAGTCACCTTGCTTCCGCCGCCATCACTCGCCCTACTATGTTCGAGCAGATAAACGTATCCCGGGATATCGAGGCTCTCGAAGGTTGCCTTCATTGCAACCAACTTTGAGTTGGACGACGTAACACGAAACGCTTTCGTCCGAAGCTCCTGCGAGAAATCCTTGTGGATTATGAGAGAACGACGTGCTTCTTCGCAGGATGGGAAACGATGTCGTAAATAGAAACGGCACCGGGATAAAGTTACGTATGGGTCAGTAATTACGAGCCTGCTTAACGACCATTCCGTCGCTAAGCAAGAATTTGCGTCAGATTAAATTGTTGCTCGACGATACTCGAAACGCACGGTGTTCCCCGTTCTTTTCTTACATGAATTTTCATCTGGAAATATAGAATTAAGCACGACCTTTTGTCATCGAGAAGGAGAACTTTGGAAATCTGTTGGGATATGCGTTTGGACGATTAATTATAAGCCATCGACATTGTAGCTACATCTGAAAATCTATCTTCGACAGTCTTTAAGTAATTTTGTGTTGGTTTTAACAGTTTCTCACGTACTAAAACAATGCACTGTGTGATTTTCGAATTTATGAAACATTTTAAGTCACAGTAGGGAAATCATTTGTAACATATGTAAAGTTAATAATGTACTTAGATAAAACAAAATTGTTAAGTATAATTTTTTGTGGCGTAAAAGATTTTTCTATCGAGATTTCGAATATTTTATGAATCAGAATTATTCGCAAAAGTGTATACTTTTAGTACGTGAAACATTGTTAATTCAGAAAGCATCATATTCCATTTCTGTGGAAAAATTGCAGGCCAAAGTATCGTTGTACAATACAATAAATTTCTCGATCTCGTATCGAGCTAAGATCGAATATCGCAGGAATGCAACGTCCTTCGTTTCCGAATATAATTTTCCCTCGCCGCCTTGATCGAATTAACAGGGGGGGTAATTGTAGGATGAGAACAAAAACCAATTTAAAGGCGGAAGAAAAGGAAAGATCGCCGCGTTAGCGAGCCGCGCCGAGGAAAGGAAGCAAGAGCGTCAAACAAAATGTTCGCTTTGTTCTCGGTGTCCAGCGAGAAGATAATTTCCCAAGGGTTAATTCCTTCCTCGATTTCTCGGAGACCCTGACCGGGAAAGGGAACGCGAAGGGCGCGTTAACACTTAGCTCGAGCGACAAAGGTCCAATTCTTGGTCCCCACGGTGTCCTGGCGCGACAATGGGAACGAACGCTCGATGAAAAGTACTCGGGGTCTTAAGGAAGGAGAATTCCCTGTCAAGGAACAGCAGCGTGAGGAAGTGTGAGAAAGTGAAGGACCTGGGGTTAGGGAGGGGGAGGAAGACGTAGGCGAGGTGCGAGGAGCAAGGGTGGACCAAGGGGTAAGAATCCGCGGAGAACGGGGATGCAACGAGGCTGCAAGTCAAGCGAAAATCTAATTTCCCGAGACAAATCCTTAAATGTACCTTGGAGCCTAGCAGGAAGGCGCGAGTCGGGTCACCTACTGGAATGAGCTCGCGTCTAGCACCCGCGACGACGACCTTTAACTCGGTTCGCCAATTTTGCATCTCCATAACCTCGCGAGAACGCGTCATTAAGTTCATTCACGCGGGGAATGCGGTGAATCGAAATCACGAACCGCCGCCGCGTTATCCGTGGAATGTAAAATTGTGATAAAACAGTTACGCCCGATTGAAATCCTCGCTGACGACTACGCTACGCGAACTTCGTGACTGCCGGTTAATGCGAGGATCCGGTCGCTTGCTCGAAATACGATAGCGAACGAGGCTATTTCCATTAAGGAACTTCGAATCGGAATGAAATTATTAGCAATCTCTTCTGGCTTTCGTTCTTCATTTTCTTTTTTATCCAAATTGAACATTTCAACTATTCTTGCACTGAAATCAATTACTTGTTGCTGTGATATATAAATGAGTGTGAGTGGTCAAATTAGAACTTATGTACTGTATATGTACTGGTGATTATGAAAATGGCCCGAGTCAGAAATCTGGTGAAGTTTGATGATGTTGATATTTTGGTGAACTTGTGTTCTATTGTAGCATGATAAATTACGTGTAATAATACAATTTTTTAGGTCGAATAATATGCTTTACAGGTGTAATGAACAATGCTTCTAAGACAAGAGAACAAATAATACATGCACAAGTGATATCGGCCCAGAAAGTAGGAAGAAGCTATAACAAACAGAATCTAAAATACCCATAAAATAGAAAAATCAAGAGACGAAGAAATCGTTCCAAGAAAAATTCCAAAAGTTATTAGTGGAAAAGTAATTTAGGCTACTTTCATCATCACCAACGCATATAATAGTAGTTTCTTCGTCGAGCAGTACTCGTCGACTTAATTTTCTGTCTGCCATCACGTGTACCGCGACTGGTCAAAATGGCCGCTCGACGGAAAGAAAAGGCTCACGCCGCACCGCGCGATCACGCTAAATCTGCCAATGAGAAAGTATTTAATGAAAGTTCTGCAGGGAGGGCATACCGAATGTCTTGTCACGGGAGGATACATGTAGGCAACGACGACGACGAATGGTATAATTTGGGCCCAATGGCATTTCTTTTTTCTGTTCTGTATTCCAGAGTGCATGATGGACGACGGGAGCACCAGTGCCATCTTCTGGAAGTAGGAGGCACCGGTGGCGGCCGCTGAAGGTAACTTCGACTTCCAGGAGATAGCTAGCTTCCTTCCAGTACCTCTATTCTTCTTCTTCTCCGCAAATCGGCAGAAGGAGAACCTCTATAAGAGAAAAAAGAAAGAAAAAACGAATTTTTCTCTCTCATCACGCCATCACCGCTGATTCAACCAGCACAGCTCGCCGCAAAGTTCATTTTGCTGCTCGCTAGTGTTTGACCCACGAAACCCGACTTTCCCTCACGAACTTCCTTCACCTTCCTCGACACGCGGTCCAATTTTTTAACCCGACACGCGACCGATATACCTATACATACGTGATACATCCCTTCGAATAAAAGCAGAGATCTGAGCTCCGAATACCACGGAAAGAGTACGTCCAACCCCGAACTAAATTATCCCGATCGTGGAACTTTTGTCGAACTTCGACATTCTTATTCATTTTTTTTTATGTATATACATATAGAGAGAGATATTCATTCGACGCCAAGTTTCGTTAAAACGATTAAAACTAAAGTCCTCCGCCTTTCAAATTTTCGAAAGTCTGAATTCCGTTCCGGACTGTTCGGAACGCGTCTTGTTGGTTCGATTTTAGCATATGTAACTCGACGCGTCTTTGTCGTAAACCTTGTCTCCGTTATCAAACACCGTTCAGCCATTCCTAATCCATTTCAACGGAGTATACGAACAATACAGCGTGGTACACTGTAAGGTATTACAAATAATGTTGTGCGTGCCCACGTACGTGAACCTTTACCTAGTAGCCGTAAACTTGTCGTTCGTGTTTTTTGCTCTAGTTATTGCGCACCGGCGTTATCACATTGTGAAAACCTCGTTACGGCGGGATCTGCGTGGACGCTCTTGGATCCTCGCGGATTCGTCCTTAATTAGCAAAATTCGCAACGATCGTTCGTTCGGCTGTTCGGGGCAGGACACGTTGGAAACACGACGAGCGTGGAAAAAAATGCGAAATCATCTTAGAGCGTCCACCGGCCGTATGTTGCAGATAGCTTCCTTTTTTTGTTCCGAAGGCCGAATATATCGTACGCCTCGTAAAACTCAAGTCCCGTAATTAATCCCAATCTTAAATTTTTTCACCTTATCCCTTCGTATGGACAAACCACCTTAAGCGTAAATATTATATATTTATATAATTATATATTTATATACATACTATACCGCTCTTTACAGCTATGACCATAACATAGTGGCTCGCTCGTTGGATGTGTTGTCTCGTTCGTTATCGATGTGTTTTTTTATCACCTCTGTAAATATTTTCTACTTATGATGTCAGCTACGTTTATCTTATTCTATTACTTAGATATGATTCTATATGAAAACTTCTTGACCCCTCCTCCAGTTTTTACCAATCTCCCGACGACAGACCCTTTCCATGAACATTCCATCGGCCAATATCTCTCGTCACGTAGTCCCAGTCGATCTCGCACACCCACGATCATTTATTATCGATATTATACAGGGGTACACGTACACGCAGGATACACATTCAGCGCAGATATTTCTAAAAAGCATTTGCGTTCGAAAATTGTCAAATTCCTTAGCTTTCACGATGATGGATGAGACACGAGACTAAAAAAAAAAAAATTACAAAACTCGAACGATGTTTCGGAAAAATCTAATCTGAAGACGAATCTCTGGTACGGTAGCAAGCGTAAACGTCTTCGCGCAGAGCGATTCTCAAATCAGTTGCCAAACTTTCGAAACAAGCTGTACAAATAATAAAAATCCATTTAATTCGGTCGACGAGCGAGTGATCGATATGCTCGATAATAACTGTTGCATTCATTTGGAAGAGCATCTAAAAATACGTACGGATTACTCGACTCGTCAGACGTGTATATTTATAACGACGAAATTGCTTATATACGATTATCAAAGTTTGGCGCTCTATTTTGCGATCGCTACGCGTGCGTGTTTTGCGCCGAAAGCATCCGTGCGATGAAATCAAGAAAGAGACGGAGACACAATCAGGCCCAAATATACTCCACAAAATGAAAAACGACAACATGATCGTAGGTCGATTTATTTCATTTCTTATTTCCGCGCGCGCGTTAGAAATAGCTGCAAATTCTTGAAATAAAAAAAAAAAAAAGAAATTTATTAAGTGGCGTGTGACCCTTTATAAGCGATATATTGACCTCAGCACCACGCGGTACGCTCGTTGGCGTCGACCTCTACGATCGCAGAATCTTTTGTCATCGAATCGCAAATACGTCGATTTTCCGATGAATAAAAAATATTTGTTAGAATACGATGTAATATATTGAAAAAAATTGAAATCTCTGCGTAGACGACGTCGCCATCGAGAGTCCCGCCCGTAGTTGAGTCGCTTGTACGCCCCATCCGATTTTTACGCGAATATCGTTTTTTCTCCATTTGTTCTTCGGCTTGTGGCGTAGGATGTAGGATTGAAATTGATTGATTTCCTTTGTTATCGTTACTTTGTTACCTTATAATTCCCATTGAAATACATTTATCGTCACTGTCACACGTGTACGTCGTGCTACTTACCATGTTGGTATTACAAATGACATTTTTCTTTACCGTCTTTGGCATTTCAGCAGTTCTCGACTGCTATCTGAATGTAATTGAAACAAAAAAAAATAAGAAAAAAAGGCCGTACAGGCTGCGTGTCCGTGTAAATTTGCATATAACACAGATCATATATGTATATATCTATATACATATGGGAATATATAGATATATGTATATTATATACCCTTACCCCCTTCCCCTTAGGATGGTGGATGCTGGTGTAACCGTGTAACTTTGTCGTTCTCGGTGTTAGCCGCAAAATCTCTTTTAATGCCTAACAAGCGCTATAAGCGAAACTCGCCCCTTTCGAACCCCCCGACTAACGCATTTCTTTGTTTTTTCTCTGTTCCTTTTACTTCAACACGCGGACGACCCGCAGACAGAAAGCTGTTCGTGGGAATGCTCAGCAAGCAACAGACCGAAGACGATGTCAGACAGTTGTTCACTGCCTTTGGCACAATAGAGGAGTGCACCATCCTCCGAGGACCCGACGGCAGTAGCAGAGGTGAGTAATTAATACGACACTTATTCTAGGTTATAGTCGTACGTATATCTTTCGCATTTTATCGTCGTGGTGTTGTTACAATGTTGGCACAATTATGAAATGAAACTAAACATCTAGCACGGTTATGTGTGTCACAAATTTGTCAGTAGCAAAGAGCGGTTGTACAGAGACCCATTAGAAATTCCCAAATTCATTGAATTTCGATCATTTCTTTCGCAACTTCTTGAAAATTTTACTACCTTTTTTCGTACCACATTACGTACACATTCAACGAAAAAGGAAAGACGAGGATGAGTGAGTTTCATCTCGGTCTTGTACAATTTTCATCCGATTCTTAAAAGAGGAAGATCAGAGACAAGACAAGATTGTTTTAAATAATGAAGCGCGAACACACTGACGCAAGAAAGTTTAATTCTACCCGCGGACGAAATTCACGAATCGATAGAGGTATTTACGAAAACGTAGCATAGTCGCGGGGAACGGGGGTGGGACGAGTTCAAGGGGATTCGAAAGCGGAACGGGAAAGACAATAATTTCCGTGGAACGAATCAGCGAATTTCAAATATTTTTATTTCGAAACGAAGACCATGAGTAATAGGATGCCGGTCGAGTTTCTGAGAGTTTTTAAAGTAAGAGGGTGGGAGTAATCGGGCGGAACGAAGATGACAAAGGCGTAAGTAGGGGACATAAGATGCAGGGGGGGAAAGAAAGGAATCAAGAAAGATAGAACGAGCCGACGAAAGGGGATAGAACGAACGTTGTTACCCGAGGACGCAGAGAAAGGGGTGGAGGGGGGGGGGGGTAAGTAGCCAAGCAGGCGTGAATGTAATTAAATTCCACCTTGAAGTAAAACTCACTTTCAACAGTTAATAAGATTTTGATTCGCAGTCGGTGACGTAACATAGCACCCATCGTCTTTGACTGGTTTGCAATGCGAAGGGAGCTCGGTGGAGGGATGATTGTAGAAGGGGGTGAAAGCAGTACTCGTGGCGAGACCCTAGCGATGTCGAATCTCCTCCTTTCTCTGTTCCTCCCGCCCCCCTTTTTTGCTAAACCGTCCTCGGTGACATTGCCTCGCGAAAGTCTTTGTCAAAAATTGAGGCGATGTTGCGCTCGCTTTTCAAGCTCTTTAATTAAAATCACAGGAACGCAACGGATCGATAGAAACGTTCCGCTAGGTACCTTACGAGGATTGCTTTGTCGTTTATTCCGCAATTAAAACATTTAAGGGAAGATTAGAAAAATTTTCCCTGCGCTCTAAAGTCGATTTACAAGTAAAAATGCAAAAGCGTCCATGAAGAATAGTATCTTTGCAAACGCTAAAAGATAATTTTATTTAAGGGTGGAACTTATCGAAGTTCTGTTTAATTTGAGAAAAACTGTAAACCTGTCTATGGCGGATTTGATCGCGATGAACCCGAATGGGGTACGTAATCAAGTCTTCGGGGAATGGATATGCCTTTCACAGGAAGTCATCGATCGGTTATTCCGTGTAACTCTGCCGTTACATCCCTCGTCTTGGTCCCGTTCTGACGGAAACTTTCCAAACACGCTTCATCACCGCTCGCCCGGTTCCACTTGAGTTTCAGAAGTAGCTAATCTGCGACGTTATAGAGACATCAAGGAGATCTCTCCTGTGCGACTTCACCTGTATATCGCTTTAGGTCTACCACAACAGCCGATGGAGTCTCACAAACGACACACACACTACCTCGAGTGGACTCTATCTCGATATCGGCTGACATCGCTGAATGACAAAAAAATTTAATTAAAGAGAACGAAATCCGAGGCTGCTGTCAAATACATTCTGTTGGATTCGTTTCGATAATTATTGGGCGTTTCCTCTCGTCGCTAGCATACAACTTTTCTCGTCGAACGTGGTATTGCCTAGGCAGCCAGCTCGTAGGGCGAAGGTTTCACGGTAACGAGGAGTTTAAGAAAGGAATTCGTTTTGAGGATTCTATGGAAAGACAGGACGGTCGTCTTCGTCATCGTCGGGGCGGGGCGGTTCGCATTCCTCCGATGCAATAGTAACGACAAACTCTTCGTCCAATTATTTTTCCCTCGCTTCGAAACATTTCAACGCCACTTCAGCGAACGAACTCGTTTCTATTCTCTCGTTTGCGTGCCAACTTTTCTTCGCCCCGTTCCCGTCACCTTTTCTCTCCTCCCGTTCTCTCCTACCGATTCCCTTTAACTCCGTTCCTCGATGTTCAACGGGGGTCCCGACCGTGCCGCGCGTTATTTCAATTGCGCGAGCAGCAATAATTCACCGCGCTAAGAAGATTATAAAATGTTTATGAATAATGGAACGAAATATTATTCGACGCGGGTCCGCTGGGTTCTTCCGAGCGCTGTTGCGCGACGAGGTGCCGCCAACATCTAAGCGAATAATGCCACGAAGGCACCCTCGAAAACTGTAGGCGAACTCCCGGTGCCCCGTATCCGCTTATTGTGGAACGCTGTATTGTAAACGTTAAACGAATATTCGCGGAACGGAACAATTTCGTGTTTTAAGTCGCAACAACATCGCGCTACTGCGTTCGCGATCCTCTTCCCGTTCCCGGGCTCAGCCATAGTATTCGTAACAATGCCAACTTTTGTTAATAATCCGTAACGTTTCGACTATCGGGAACATAAACAACTTTCGTACGTAGAAACGCAAATAGTCAATTTTATCTAAGTCACTTTATTCGTTATTAATAATTCTGTTAGCGAAACATGCATTCGAATAGCAAAAATTAGGGAAGTAATAATAATTTTGACAATATCATTATTTATACAGTGTCCCAGTGATCGTGATACTCAAAAATGTACAGTAAAATTTGTTCGTGTCTGACCATTGCACGACATTTCTACTTGTATTATTATTATAAAATTTTTGTAGATAACTGATTCAATATAAATTCAATCTCGTTCTGATAAAGGTACAGAGCTTTTCTTTCGTTCAGAATATTATTTGAGTAGTTCATTTTTTTCCCCAAAATGGCGACCTTGTTCTATTGCACCTAATCGCATTTACAGAACAGTTTCGTTTCTGTATCTAGGTTTGACGCAGTTTGGCTTCATTCCACATGCATTTCCAGTTGTTTCGAAGTTTTTTTCAGCCCCGAGAGGAGAGTTTTGCAACTTCCACCATCCACTGTGGCGTCCTCTAGCTTAGGATGACCTCGCGGAACTCTGTACAAGCTGGTATTTCGCACCACGCGATTGACATTAACAAATGATGTCTTTTTGTTTAACTTGAGCGATGCTCTATCGGACGGAAAACTATTTCTTTGATCATTTTTCCCGGAACGCGATCGTTCGATACAAACGGATTAGAATTGGCCCGTTAACGACATTACTGACAGGAAGTATAACGAATCAATAATTTTCTCGGCCTAGCATTTTATGAGGGAGTATTAAAAGGGCGATAGTTATCGATGATTGATGGTCCTGCTGTCACCTGCACGGGTTCGTCCCTTTGCAGAATGTATCGCGCCACGATATACACGTCCAATTTACAGCTTTTATCTTCAACGCGAACGACGGTGAACTTACGAAATTCAAATAGTTTCTCTGGAATTTAAATATTTCGTACGATTGGCACAATTATTGTGAGTGTCAATAAACTTTCTATCTTTAAAAAAAACTTCCAGATCACCTACTCTCATCAACTAAAAAATTGCAGAGAAAGCGTTTCAACGTTCCAATTTATTATCGAGAATTCGTTTAAAAATAATCATAATCTCTATCTCAGGGAAGAATTTTCTCAATCGATACTTTTATGTACAACCGTGGTACGAAGCAATTCAATAAATTTCTGATTATTTATTTAAAACGCGACAAGACGCTAAATAAGTCTTGCATTCTTGACCCCCGGGTGAACATTAATAAATTTACAGAGTTTGGAAGCGGTTCGATGACGTGGCTCCGGACTTTTATTAGACTTCGGAGACTTCGCGTGACTCGAAGCGTGATCTTGCCCGATGATAGTTAAATGAAAGATCCGCGATAACGCAACGTGCGACTTCGGTAAATCACGCAAGACGTTCGCGCGACATTTGCACCGTCGATCTTTCTCGATAACGCTTCGACCATTGTTAGTTTCGTGGAAACTTCGATGATATTTAATCGACGAGTAAATACACAAATTGCATTGCGCGTCGTTGTCAATTAATCGCTACGATTATCGACTGTTTCTTTCGTTTAAAAGTTTTCAGTAACTGGAGAAACGATTAAAAACTCGCGATTAAATCGAGGCCAATTTAAATTAGCGTCTGTCTCTTTCGACTGTGTTTTTACTTAAAATTTAACTTCGCGTAAATTTAATAACGCGACGATAAAGAGTCTAAGAGAAGATGTCGATTGCACGCGATAAAGATTCTATTTCCATTACGATAATTGAGGGATCAATACGAGATATCCCGTTAACGAAAAGATTACATACATCGGTCGGTAATAATTTCCAGTCTACTCGATGATTGAGATTCGTAATCAAACAAAAACGATATCAAATAATACATTAACCGTGCAAACAGTACGTACGAGTACAGAGGCAAACAGAAAACAGGGTGTACGGCTAATAGAACATTATTACGACAAACACGTTGTACAATTATGTGAAGTATCCGTTGTAGCAGCGTGTTTACGTTGTTATAGCCACAATTTTCCTTGTACAAGCACGGCTGTACGGTGTTCGCGTTGGACTCTCCTTCCAATAGAAGCTGGAACTCGAGGAGGAGGCTGCTTTCGGGTGGAAGCTCTCAATATGTCCGACCTAATCCTCTCCCAGAGGACCTGGCCGTCCCCTCCTCCACCCCCCCCCCTCCCCACACCCCCTCCTCGCGCGCGCTTTACTTCGCAATACGTATAAACATTTCGAGCCCAGCTGCGCCACAGGATTTAAGAGCTGAGCGATTAATAAATGCTTCGTACGACGAGAGCCGGCACCAGGACTCTCCGACAGCCACTCGACGAGGCTGTCCGTGATTTACCGTCCGGACTCGCGTGTCTGC